GAAGACTCAAGAGGTGCCGCCACAGCTGGTCGAGCAGCTCGTGTTGGGTCGGCGGCGAGTCGGTGGGACACTGGTGATGGAGAATCCGTTGAAGCTGGGGGATGAATATGTTCATCAAGATGGAACTCTTGAGCGGGCAAACCTGACTTTAATTGATGAAACGAGATGAAACACATTGAAACAGAGAGTTAAATATATAGATAGATAGATAGATAGATAGATAGCTAGCTAGATAGATAGATAGATAGATAGAGGCTCGAGGGTCAAATGATTAAAATGGACAGCTTTGCCCCCTGGGGGGGTTCCGTGCAAGAAGCCAACAAAGATGCACTCGCGAACCAGGTCCAACAGGAGGGATACTTGTTACTAGAAAGCGATGCACTACTGTCTCAGAACTTTCAATGAATGACTTCATCCCACCTGGCAGTCTGCCATAATCCACCACTACCCTAGGGCCCTAGGATCAAATGAGTCATCACAGGACTCTCTTCCCCATTTGGGACACTTGTTCCGCAATTTGCAAAAAATACACAATATGGACCATGGACATTGTTTCTTGGCGTTTTTGCGTGATTTCACAAGTTCTGCCAACATTTCCTGGGAGTATTCTATAGTTTGGGCGTCCTCCTGTGATGTCAGCCTGTAGGCCCAAGTGCTCCGCTGGAAGATTTCTCTCTTTCGGGAGCCAAATGTTGGGAGACTCCCCTTCCCTCCAGATCCCTGCAGGAGGTGAAGCCGGCGAAGATTAGCGCCAAACAGCAGGAGCTTTGTAGAAGATCAGCATCGAAGCGATCTTGTTCATCCATCGAAGCGACGGACCAAATTGGAGTTCCGGCTTCGGCGTTGGCTTGGGCACGAGTCCATGCCAGATTCACGGGCAGCTGCCTACAGTGTTTCAGAGAGGAAATGCATCAGATGGCAGAGCTTCATCCGATCTCTTAGACCTGGGGACCCTCCAGGAGGTCTGATGAGTGCAGATTCCGGCCATTGTTCCCGACTTTTCGTGGCCAGCTTTCTTTTCCTCAAAGCTGGGCGGTGAGGCGGTGGCAGTTGGGGGTGCGGAGGTTGACACATTTGGTGCGAAGATACCAAGAGCTAGTCCGCACAGGAAGGCTTAGTGTTTTTTGGTTACCTTATACTATCCATATACTGCATATGATTTGGGGGTATGTTACGCATTCATAAGCATAGGATCCACAAGATGTCCTTCTCAGCTTCTCCCAGTATTATGCTGGGGCGAGAGACATCTATATAGCTTTGTTGAGCTGCACGATGCAGGAGCTCATCGACAAGAATGAGGAAAAGCGAAAGAAAGAAATCCAGGCACGGGACATGAGGCAGACAAAGTTGCAGACTTCTGTGACCTTCGCGGCTCAACTAACTTGCTCCCATGCTGCGTCCCATATCATCTGGACCATCATGCAGCTGACCCCGCAAGCTGACCCAACGCCTTGCGAGCCTTTGAGGCTCACCAACCCATCATGTTTTGAAAATATTATCAGCAGCAGCAGCAACAACAGCGTCAGCTGAGGGTTGTCTCGTGCGGAATCTCCAGCGACGTCTCATTTGTGTCACTAAACGGTTCCTGCGCTCGGTGGCTTCGGATCGGGAAAATTGACTTTTGGACTGTTCCCAATGCCTGGACCAATGAGACAGTTCTCCCGACTCCTGTGAGCTTGTCATCTACAGACCGAAGAAGAGACCAGCGCTGGTTGGACACAGCCCTTCGTTGCGTTCAGCAGCTACAGTGCCCTGGAAAATCAGCACTGCACTAGCCATGTAAATGGAAAATACATCAACATACAAAGCCCTGGAGGTGTGGGTGTGTGAGTGGATTGCAGCTTTTCCAACGGTGTGGTTCCACAAACGGAGACACGGTGATTCCGTCCCAGACGGAGCGGATTGAATCAGCGAATGAACGCTCCTGTTTGTTGATTCGAAGACTTGGCTTTTCATTCCCTCAGTGGTTCCAGTTTGGCAGATGTAGAACCCTCACATGCTGGTCGCTTCCAGGGAATCCATATCGATCTTCCGTACGCCATAAACGCAACACATTACGATTCTGGCAGTCCAGGACAAACCGGAGCAGGCCGCTTAACCTTTGTTTTCCAGGGAACCTGAGGATGTGAGCTGGCATTACTTGATTTGTATTTCTTGTATCCTGACGGACCTAGTGATGGTACTAGTGCAGGTCGCTTCTCGCAATGAACGGGTGAAGTCATCAGCGCCATCGGAAAACGTTCCCCAGGAGCAAGATGAAAAACAGCTGGCTGAATGGGCCACCTGGTCAGCATTAGATCCGCATGGGCCACCAGCCAGGTTTTGGTGGAATGTACGTTTTGGGCGTCCATCCAAAACGATCCAAATCAACCCTTTGAGGTTCGCTTGAAATGTAAACAGTCAGGTGGACATGGGTGGACTGGACGGTGATGACAAGTCAAGGGACGGCGAAAGAACCGACACCGAGTGCGGTGATCCCCAAGTTTCGGGAGCTTGCTGCCACTGCACGCCAAGTATTTTGTGCCTAGCGGAGCAGATGCATACGAAATGGCTGACATGTCCAGATTTGGGAGTCCTTCTAGAAGGGGTCTTTCAAGTACTTGTAGCCTATCAATGAGTCATATAGGTGGCAGTGGAAGTCGTTCAGAGGTATGGTTTGAGACTTGATCCAGGTTTGGTGTATGTGATATCTGGATTGAATCAGTTTTTTACATGGACTGGAGACTGTTCAGTCACATGACATCACTCATGTTTCAGCCTTCGTGTTTGCCAGTCCCCGATCTCCATTTTGTGCCGCGATTGGCCGCTTCATATCCACATGAGACTGATGCAGGGTCTGGCCTTGTGTCCCCAATGGGCTCCAAAACACACGCTTTGAAAGCTGCAAACTTGTGGGCCGGGTTTCGTTCAGTCGAGTCGGTTCAATGCATTCAGAACCTATCGTTGACCCCTTTTTTTGTGCAGTGGCCGAGGAGAAGAAGGTGGAGGCCTTGGCGCAGGTCGGAAATCCCTCAGAGCTTGAGAAGGCCAGGGAGAATGGTGAGGAAACGTGGTAGCTGGTACTGGCAGGAGAATGGTGGTCATAATGGGGAGGTGAGAACGTCACAAGGCATGCAGCCATCCACAGGTTTTGCGTTTTGAGATGTTTCGAGGGCATCGACCTCTTTTTACTTGGTGTTTGTCGTGAAGGGTCCAAGAATTCTTGAGGTGGTTCAAGAATGTTGGAGGCGACTTGTCAGTGGCTCCCTTCTCGGGGAGACTGGCTTTTGTGCGTGTGAAGCTGCGCTTGAATCGAACATCAGGCAGCAGTTCTAAAGCTACGGCTTTCCAGGAGTTGCTAGACCTCCTCATCGGCTACAATCGCATTATGGACAGGCGTGGATGCGAGATGGCTGGTGAAGCATGGGGGAAGGGCCGGGAAGGGCATAGGTATTTCACCTTTTGGGGGGCGAAGTGAAGTTGGTCTGGTAAGGGCGTTTTCGATTCTGGGAGAACATGGAGATGGTCAAGCGTAAAAAGCTGCTTGGAGATGGTTCTGGGATGGGATGGAGAACCTATGCAGCCTATGCCTATGATATATTACAAGCCCCACAAGGGGTGACGATGGGATGGATTAGTGAGTAAACATAGGCCTGAACGAAGGGAACCTTTAAAAGAAACCATCAAAGTGTCGACCATTGGGTCTTGAGCTGAAGCCAACTCAACTCAACCTTCTTTCTTGAGGTTTAGATATATTGGAAATCTCATCGCTGTGTAAATGTATTTGGCGGCAAATGAACAGCTGCATGCGTCGATATGAATTCCCTGGTGTTTTGTTCTTCGTGGGTTTGACCGAGCAAATTGACACACTGGTGTTTTGGTGTGATCTCTCATCTTTCACTGACCAATAAAGGATAATACGTAAGTGTATTTGATACGTTTTAATACACGGACATACATTTATAATGATGTACATATAATTACATATATATATATATATATATCTATTAATGTAATATATATATATAGTTGATTGTAAGTATAAATATAGATTCACTTGGGGAACAGCGGTTGCTGAAGTTACCCATGATTCTTGAGGCATCCCCGTTCGACCAGCGCTCGGCCAGTTTCGTGGGCTTCCCAGCTCTTCAAGGGCCTTTCAAAACACAAGAGGCCCAGGTGAAAGTCATCGTGAAGGCGGGAAATCCCGGTGGGGCGACTCCTCATTGGGCAACTCGGCAACTCTGTGTTGCTCCCTTTTTTTTTGTTTTCGTTTGCTTGCTTCCCCAAAACTTTGAGCAAGATCTGCTCTCCTCATGGCTTCTTTAAAGAATTAGCACCTTTGGATGGTCTTCGGTCATGTTGCTTGCGAAAGTGGCCAGTCTGGCGCAGACGTCGACCGCTTTACTGACTCCATGAGGCTGAAGGGTCAGTAAGTACCACTACCCGATCAACTACCCATTGCACTGACCGATAGACTGACTCCTGAGGTGTTAAAGCTGGATTTGGGAGAAGGAAAGCGGTGAAACTGGGATGACCCCATGCGCTGTGATTTGTTTACTTTCAAGATGGTAATCATGAGCGTTTGGTGCAAAGCGAAATTGCATGTTTTGCATTCACTCTAACTTGGATGTCTACTTCAACACAGGCTTGGTGCTACCATGTGGAACCTTGATGTGAGGAACATAAGTTTGTGAATGATGACATGTCGAGGGAGACCGTGGAGTCCAGTCTGCACTGCCTTCCACTGACTCGCTTTCATCGCCGGTTCACGTGGCTGCTTTGAGAGCAATTACTGTCTAGTAACTCTTACTGAACACATGGACTCTCCAATTGCTCTCCCATAGAGTTTCTTGCGGAGGTAGTGTTGAACCATGATTTTGGGCTTCTCATGCAAAGAGATATCATGAAATATAATGAAGTATCATAAATATCCATATATCATATATCTATGCAAAACGTTCTTGACACATCTTGAGACAAGTCTTCCAGCTACCCCAAACACCCTCAACACTGCTTCAAAAAGCCCGGCCCTGCCTGCCTACTTCAGCGCCTCCCTCTTTCTCCATGTTGCTCTTCAGCGGAACCATGGCGACGGTGAACATCGAGTGTCTTCGCCCTGAGAACATCGGTGAGCTCTACCCTGTCCGGACGACTTCTTTCGAATGTTGACACGGCCCAGCGTGCCGTTGCACGATGAAATCCCCATCTTTGCCGAGCTGGCCGCCATCCGTGTCTCCAATGAGAAGGCGGGCAGGATGACAGAACTTGGAGTGCACAAGAAGTGGTGGGAATGAGGGTGGCTGACCCACAACATGTTGGAAATGCAAATTCTCAACATGTTCTGTTGGAGGATGGTGTCAATGGTGTGCATCCTTTCTCCCTCATTCCTCCAGCAGCCCATTGGAGTTGCTGCAGGCTTGTGCTGCAGGTTTTATTCGTCCGAACATCCAACCAGCCTCCAAGTTTTCGTCGCGCAGGTGGAGCCGTGGCAGGACGACTTGTACATGCCGGCCATTGCTCGGCCCTCCTCGCGGCAGCCACCTGCAGCGCCCGAGAAGCTGTCGCGGCGCGAGCCGGCGCGGGACCTGGCGCAACGAGTCTTGCTGGGCTCCGCGGACATGCGGCTTTGGGTCATACAACGGAGCGAGGAGGACGAGTCTTCAGGTGGGGTGGATGAGTTTCAGGTGGGGTGCCTTCACAATGAGTTGATATGAGTTGTTAGAAGTATATTGAAGTGCAATCCCTCACAGGTGAAGAACCAGTCGCGATTGTGATTGGGTGTTCAGTGGGAGTGGGAGAAGTGGGACATGTTTTTGTGACCAGTAGATGCAGCTAATTGGGAGGTGAGGAGCACTTTCCTGTTACGGCAACGGTTCGAGGGGGGGGTGTTTTTGTTCGTTGTTCATCCTTGCCATCCAATAGGCACTCCGACTTGGATCTCCTGGTAGAAAGAAATTAAACCTGGCACCCGTAAAAGAAGATTCACAGACTATAGGGGCATTTGTCATGGGGACCTACTAGAAAACAGATGCCCAGAATTCTGAATCTTGAGTTTTTGGGATCTGCTTTACTCTTTCTATATATCTTTCACTCTTTCCTCCCATCCAGGCGAGCCACCGGACGACACTGCAGTCCCTCGTGTGAGCGTCGTCACGACGGAGCTGACGGAGGTCGGTGCGTCCGTGAGGGAACGAAGGGTCAAGGCCTTTCTTTGCCACAAGCAGATCCTTGGATCTTTCTTTGCGAACGGAGAACTCCGGTTTTGTTTTGTTTTTTTAATGGTGCAATCTGAGACAGACTTACGATATGTTTTACAGACTCACGGCCATTGGACCGAAACCAGATGCTTGCAGGCTTGCAGCTAGATGCTTGCAAAACAGTTTTCAGGTGCCATTCTCAGGGCCCATGTTAGTTTTGTGGAGTGTATGGTTTCGACTCTCGATCTTTGATTCTGCCTCTTCCTGAAGACACCATAGTGTGAGACCTGAAGCTACGAGTTCAGTTTACACCAGCCCGTTTGAGCCATCTTGAGCCCGTTTCATCCAGTTTCAACTTCTGCGCTTGAAGAAGTTTTTGTTGCTCACCCACTCAGGATCCTGAGCCAAGCGTCAACACTCTTGCGCTACCGGGTGAAGCGTGCATCGGCGGCCACAGTCCCAGAGCTGCTGTCCTCGCCCTTCTTAGCTGCAGAGTCGAAAAGGGACCGAACAGGTCTGGAAAGGCCTGGAAAGTTGTCCCGAACGCGGAGGTTTCAGCAACCTGGGTTGCATTGGAAGAACATTCTCAGGGGCCCGCAAGGGCTGGAATCCGTTGGAACCCAGGTTTGTTTTCAGTTATGTGGGATGTGGTATTGTATCAAGATGTTGCAGGCCAGTTGAGACAAAACAGGTCCCCTTGTTTGGAGGGACGGATGACTAGCAGCTCCTTCTTCTCTTGACCAAAACGATATTGTAGGTTCTAGAGGTTTCCGTCCAAGGTTTTCGGCCACCGCTCTTGTATGGATATGGATATAAAAGTCACTTCAAGACTGTAATAACATTATATGACATAGTCCATAAGTCCAAAGCTGCACTCACTACTTTTAAGCACCAGACTGAATTTGCGTGGGACTTGCTGAAGGCAAAGCCGGGCTCTAGGATTCCCTGCATGTGCAAGACATTGCAGGATACTTGAATTGACAAGTCTTGGCTTTGGCTTTGATCCTCCACGAAAGCACACTGATCCGAGGCAGCAAAAGCTTCGTGTCTCAAGACCATCCCTTTTGGAATTTGAACTACATGTGCGTGAAGATCCAAGTGCCTTTGCCGACATCCTCACGTTGCTTTATGGCATGCCTTTGAAGGTCACGATGTTGGATTTGAAGAGGCGAGGAAAATCATTTGCTTGAGAGAAGGCAGAGTGGCTTCAATGGACTGGGACTCCAGAAACTTGAAACATCAAGAAAAGACCTTACTTGTACAGATAGGCATGGTATATGATCTAGAAGTTGTTTGATCCTTGTTTCGCAGACCTGTACTGTGCTGTGCTTGTGATGGAAAACTGAAAGGAACATCCCAAACCTGTGCATTTGGGGATGATTCCGTCATCTTTTGCAGTGACTTGATACTACTACACTGGAACGACATGATCCAGCGAAACAGTGGGATCTTACTGTACGTTCGATGTCCAGTGTTTCCACAACTGTTTGGTGGACTTCACGATCCAGTCCGTTTCTCACCTCCAGTCCGCGGAGTCCGAGTCCCTTCGGTCCTGGTCACGCTAGTGGTTGGCACCAGGGCGGTCGCCAGGGCGGTCGCCCTCGGTGGAGTCGGATCGGACAGTCGCAACGGCGTCGTCTCGCAAGCCTTGCAAGGCAGAAACATCCATGGTCCATAAACCATTTGAGAAGGGACTCTTGGAATCCTGTTAGCCAGTACGGGCCAGTACCCACCTGAAATGTCCGATAAAAGCACTTCTGGAATCATTTGGATCCTTAAAAAAAACAACAGGTATGCTTTAAGGTCCTAAGGCATCCGATTCATGACAAGTCTCAACGCCCGGTCAGACAGCTGTCGCGGGTATCCAGGAAGAAGCCCTCGAGGGTGTTGGTGCATGCTGCTTCCCAGGAACCCTCTAAGAGGTACATCATGTGTATTGACTCAATTGTATTCAATTGTTGCCTACTGTATAGTACAGGAATCATATGTCTTCAAACACTTGACACGGCTATTCAGCTAGTTTAATGACATGTAGTGTTTCTTGACGAGGTCCAATTCCATTGCCAGAAGCACCCGCAGCCCGTCCGTGACTTGCCTCGGATGTTGAGGGCCTTCCCCAGTGGATCCAGGCAGAACCACGAAAAACCACTCCTTTCGGTCTACGTCTACGGTTCGGAACTCGTTGGAACGGTGACCTACGAACTCGTGAGCTTGGATCCACTGAGATGTTGGAACTGGTTTTGGAATGCCTTGGATGGTTCGGACAGGTGGTGTTCAAGGACTTGGTGGCCGGCGCTGGGCCTTGCGATGGAGCTACAACTTCAGACGGTTGACGCTGGGTATCAATCGATAGATCCACCAGGATGGGGTGTTGTTTGATTGGGCTCCAAACACATCCTCAGAAGGCATAGAAGGCATGGACTTCTTCTTCACACGCACCCACCCTAGGCCCTAAGCACCAAAACGGAAGTAGGCCAGGAGCCCTAGGAATGAACATCGGGTGTTTTGATCCGTGAGAACGTCTTGAGTCTTGCTGGCCTTTGCTTGGGGATCACTTGATCCTGTAGATGTTGTCCCTGTTTTCAATTTGCCTAGGGCATCCACAGCCGCCTCCTTTCCTTAAGGAAGTGTTTGAAAGCTCCAGTGATGTTGATTGATATGCTGGCTTCTTGTCGCTTTTCGTGCCGGGACATGACCCACGTAGCGATGCGAATCTATGCTGTACCAGAATCTTTGTTTTTGTGGAAGACTTGCCTGCTGGAGATGTGGAATAGTGACACCTTCCATGCAGATGCTGCACGAAACACTTGAACACTTGAATCGAATGAGGCCTCCGGAACGTCAGGTCCACTATTGATGATACAATCATACACTGTGTGCGAAATTATTGAGGAGGTTGCAACAACATTTTGTTTGCAAGGTGTGGCATGGAACACTGCATTCCGGCGGAGTTTTTGCTGTTCGCCTGTAGCCCGAAGATGCTGTCCTCTCATTTCCAGGAAGCGATGGGCGGTGTGTGAAGTGTGTTGGACGTATACTCGCGACCGACAGAAGCTGCATACCCTTCAGATCCAATTCCCCGGATCACTTTTTGGAGGAGCTTTTCATATGAACCACACTGAAGGCGCTTTTCTGTGTACAAGCATGATCATCACTGGGACTAACATCCTTTGGTTTCTGACATGATCAGAATACCAGCTCCATGTCGGGATGCCGAACTTGGAGGGTGAGGTTGCCCACAAATCAAACAACCACAAAGCAACACACTGACACTCAACAAAGGTTAAGACATATATCGGCAACGCCCACCATGACCGTCCTGGTGAGACTCCTCGTTCCAAAAATACCGTCCGCCCTGATGCCCTCAGGAAGCCGCGCTACGGAGGATCCTACTGGATTTGCCGAGCCGGATGCCCATCGAGCCTCACACGCCCATCGAACGCGACCCCCCTGGCACCCCCAGTACAACCTTTTCGTCACCCGAAAGAGCCCGTGCTTGATGTACGGAATCCAAACATGATACATTCCCGGAAAATATAATGGAAGTGGATGCCATGGCCGGCCCATTTTGGATGACCATTTTCGGAATACCGAACCGGTGGTTTTCACTCCACACAACCTATTTTCCAGGGAGTGTTTCATCAGATCACCGTGTTCACAGTGGGTCGGACTGGGGCTCCAGTTTTGATCGACCACCATCATGTATTATAAATTAGACATGTGTTTAATTACAATTGTTTCAGAGTAGATGTGACAATCCCCAACGATGTTTGTCCTTTTCGGGATTCTGCCACTTACAGTCTGAGTGCCCATGGAACCGTGTTGAGGCCTGGCTGGAGGGTTTTTGAGGTCAAGCAGGTAACATATGATAATATATTTGTATACCTTAAACCATTCAAGATTTGGCGCTTAGAACAAAATCCGCCTCTCGTGCTTTGCTGGTAGAAGGGAATCTTGTCATTTGTAATGTTTTTGGTGGTCTTCCGCTGCTGCTGCCGACAGCTTGGATCTATCAACATGATAAAACATTATCGGTCACCAAGCAAACAGAGTTTCATCATGCTTGCTAGCAACTGCGTCCAAACCCAAAAACAGCCATTTGAGTTTCATCATCAGGCCCGGCGTAACTCTGCGAGGTGTTTGGCGTTTGGAGGTCTTTCAAGGCAGAGTTCATAGGACTAGGCAGTTGCTGGATTTGCAACCTGGGCGCCTGCAACCGGCAGAAAACAAAGGTAAAATGTTTAGCAGGGAAATGTTCATACGAAAACACTGACTATAGAGGTGAGTATCAATACCTATATAAACGAACAGCCCCACCTGCGGCCGTTGGAGCTCTGACATCAGGGTTGCATCGTCACCATCAAGTTTGTCCACATCTTTCTCTTCTTTCACTAACGTCAAACCAGCCATCAGGGTCGAACTCGAAAAAATACGGGACGGAAGCTGACACGCCATTTCCCGGTTGGATTAGAGACGAGCCTGAAAGCGGCAACCTGTCGACTTGACACTATCACTATGCCAAAAATTCATGACCGGGGAATTCCGCCTCTTACCCGGGAAGTTCCGCCTCTCGTTGTTTCATGTGCTTAATGTGTTTGCATACGTTTCATGTGTTTCATGTGTTTTCATTGTGTTTCATGTTGTGTTTTAATGTGTTTCTTTTTTTTTTCATTTGGCTCTCCTGTGCTTTCAGGTGTTTAATGTGGCTGTCATGTGTTTCATGTTTTTTCATATGCTTCATGTTTTTCATGTGGCTTTGATGTGTTCATGTGTGTTGATTATATTGCGCGATATCATGTTCATATTGGCAATTTTCCACTTGGATTGGCCTGCAAAAAAGAACCCCACAAGTCCGGTTCGACCTGCCTGAAATGCAGGTGTTGAAGGGGGAAAGCCGGACTTGTGGGGGTCTTTTTTTTGCAGGCCGATCTAAGTGGAAAATTAGCAGTTCACATATCTCTCTCTATATATATAGTTTCATGTTGTGTGTGTGCTCACTTGTCCACAGTGAGCTATCATGCCTTCATGTGTTTCATGTTTTATCATGCTTGAACCTTTTGAATGCATATAATATATAACTTATGTTTTGTTTCATGGTTCGGGGTTTGTGGTGTTTTCTATATGTTAAGTGTATAAGTTTCATTGTTATCACGGGTATCATATGTTCTATCAACATAACTGGGGATGAATCTATGTAAACCAAGAATCGTCTCTTGCAAAAAAAAGTTACCTCTCAGTTCCTAGAGGCGCCTTTTAGGTTAGAGGCGCAAAAAGTGCAGCGGTAGGAAGATATATATACACTTGCCGCATGTGGACAAAACTGTCTTGTAATTAGATCTGAGGGGTTTCCGACGGTGGGTCAAAATCGATCATCGCCATATATACCACCATACAGTAAGCCCTTTGATGTTTATAGCTATAGGCTATGGGCGACCCACCACTCAAAAAATGGCCGCATCGATTCGAACAAGTATCAAACAGGTTCTAGCATGTTCTAGGCAGCAGCAAGCTCTTCAAATGACTTGAGGCTCCAGTGACTGGGGCGAAGTTTACTGGCATACGTCTTACTTCATACCCTTCTTTTGAGGCAAGTTCGTTCACGAAATGGTTTTACAGGAACATCTACAGGCAAGCCTTTGTTGGATTCGGACTTTTCCTGTAGGCGTTCCTCATAACTGTCTGAGAACTGCATGAGGATATGACTTGGGCTATGCTGCCCTTGGTGCATGCACACAATCTGCAGCCAGAGATGCTCCACTGTTCAGTCATTCTGGCACGTCAGGTGACTAGGCTGTTAAATTAAGAGTCCTAGATTTTGGTTTCCTTTCAGTCAGGGGTAAACTTTGAACTACCTTTCTTGGGGATTGGGTACTCCAAATTGAATAGCTGTGAAGCTAAGTGGGTGTCAGCGAAACTGAGGCAGAAGCTAAGTAGGTGCTGAAATAGGCGTTCATCCTCCGTTTGTGCGGTCTGACCGTCCCAAAGGGCCCCAAAGGGCCCCTGAAACCTCCAGATGAGACCTCTTGGGGAAGCGGTGTTTTTGGTGTGTTTTTTTTCATGGTCACTGGTGTGTTCATTAAGGTCTGCGGCATGTGGGTCGGGTGGGCGAAAGTCACCCGGTAGAGTCCCTGAGGCCCTGGTCTTTTGTAGGTCTGGTTATACCTACTACTGTAAAGTGGTTTGTTTGCCGGGATAGGTTTACACTCCCTGAAAGCCTGAAACCATCATCGAAGTGCATAGCATGGCCCCGTAAGGATAACAATGAAGTCCTCTACAAACAGCTGGTGAACTGCACGAAACCATGACGATTCCAGGGAGTGTAGATCATGCTGGGGTTGACTATGGTGAACTGGCTCTCATCCAATCTTTTTACAGGGGATGTGTGCCCTCTCTCGTGGTCACCCTTGGCTGCTCCCACATCAAGGACTTGAGTCTCCACCCCAACACACCCTCTGCGCGCGCGTGTGGTTCCACCGTTTGGATCAAGGGTGCCAAGTGTCGGCCATCAAGCCTCCCCATCGTGCGGGCGTTGCATGTGGATGCCTTGACGGCCCTGATGACCAGTGACGCCTGGATTGTGTCCATTGAGGCGGAGATCTTCGCACTACTGCAGTGCCTTAGACGTCCCAAAGAGTCAGTGGTTGTTTTGGTTGGATACTATTGTATACTGTATATTATCTAATATATAATATATTAGACAATATACAGTATAGTATTCACAGTATTATTTATGTTGCAACTTTTCTTTCAGTTCGATTTGCCTCCTTGAGGGCCCAATTATGATGTTTTTGTAAAATTCCCTGGCCTACATATATAAACCCGTAGAGCTCCAAGTGTCTCAGAAGTTGTTTGGAGCCTCTAACTCACCTCAAACACCTTTCTTAGAAGGTACTTGGAGCTCTAGGCAAACAAATCCCCACGGGCTCGGGCTTTGCTCGAACCACCCTCAGCATGGCTTCCATCATGACTTTCAGTGAATCGACGCAGAGACTGTTTGTCCATTTTTGCATTCCCTGCCAAGCATATTCAAACATGCTGGTAAGTGGTCATAAGGTATTTAATATATACTTGCATGCCTTTGTAGCATCACTCCTGACACCTGCTCAGATATTTTCCTTTTCTTTCTGTGTGTATGTAACTGCAACAGTGCAATTGTCCATCGCTCGAGTCTCTTTGACCCTGCCACGCCACTCTTCTTCCACATGACCCGCGCTGAGTGCAGGACCTGGATGAAAGCGCAGCCCTGGGTGAACTGGTCCAAGGCCTGGGATTTTCCATGATTTGGGATGTTCCTCAAAGGGGATCCCCCAAAGGTTTTCGAGGCCATCGGTACTCGTCGGTACGCCAGTCGTATCCTTGTAGATTTCGTTCCACGTCGGGTCAGGTCGTGTCAGTGACTGCAGTTTTTAGGCTGAAGGATCTGAAGGGACCAGGTTGATGTTCGTTTTTTTGTTCCTTTAAATGGTTGATGCCAAAGGGCCGCGATATCGGCGATCGAAGGTGGAGAAGAACGACGAGGTCACTCAAGTGCCTCCGGAAGTCTTCGCGGCCTCTGCGAAGTGGGACATTAAATGGGGGCATTTGCATTCACAGCTGGTGCCTCGGCTTGATTTGTGTTTGTTTGTCCTTTTTTCCGAGAAAAGGGCTGCAGGCCTCGATGGTTCCATGTGGGTTCATGTGATCTGACATGATCTGATAGTTTTGAACATCACCCAGGAAGCAAGAAGTTGTTTGATGTGACCTGTTTGGAAGCTGAAACAAACACGCAGGAAGCCTTGGAGAACATGAAGTGAAGTATAGTGAAGTGATTTCTTCGGGTGATGAACATGTTGTTTCGCTAATATTATCATTATGTCATACTGTATATTTCATGGTCTGGTTCAGTGACATTCCCAAAGGTCCAGAGCTTGTTTGCTGATGGGTAGAGCTAGGTGCTTCAACTGTCAAATGAGATCAAACGTGCATGTAAATGTTCATGATTCTTTATCAAGGCCAACTTCTTCGACCACCCCGCGGATGGGTCACGGTATTTTCTTTCTGCGTCCATGGGCACCATGGGCGCCATGGCCTGTGAGATGTGTATCTACCCTGGGACAAAGTCTCCCAAGTTCTCTTGGTCGTTGGATACACTTCCACAGTAGAGCTCACTAGTAGAGCTCACGTTTTTTTCACTTTTGATGAAGAGCTGATCTGTGGATCTGTCTACAAGACCCGGTTTAAAGTCAAGCTTCTTTGATCTCTTTTGGAACTGATCCTACAAAACTGATCCATGCCATCCTGGAAATTTCATGTTTCGAAGCCTTTGTGTCGACCTCCAGTAAGATGAGCTTCTTGATTTCTAGGGATACCTGAAGTTGGTCAACAACAACATCACAAACACTCAAATGAAAACAGTAGGTTTTCCCTGCCTGGCTGTTGGCTTTTGACAATTGCAGGCGATGCAATCAAAGCCTGTTGGTCAACTATAGACTATCGGTTTTTCATGGGTTTCATGGCCTCCGACTTTGTTACCCTTTGAAACCATCTCTATGACTTGCATGTTCGTCGAAGATTCACCATATCATCCGTACAATAGTCCTCCTATTCCTGCGACGTCCGTGTCCATAGACTGTCCCAATTGTGTGCCACGAACTGTAGGTGTTTGTTAAGTTTGGTCACTGCCCCAGTTTGATCACCTCTACCCATCCTCCAATGCAGCTACCACAATACCCTTCACACTTCCTCCTTCGGCGTCGGACCGGCACCGGAGGTCGAGAAGCTGATTGTCAACGGCGTGGTCCCCGAGACTTTGGCGCGGGACATCGATCGTTGGAGGAGCTCGGCCAATATCTTCCTGCCTCCCTTACCACAAGCCTTTGCACAGGAAGATCGGAGGAAGAGCCACTGAGCTCAGGACATGTTATTGTGTTGTGTTTCTGATTTCTGATCCTTTTTTGGGGGGGGAGTGGAGACTAATAAGTACTAAAGAAGCAAGGCCTAAGTCCCTGTTTTTTTTTGCCGTTTCTTCGCACCCGTTTCAGGACCCACAAGGGATGCTGAACGGACACTCTTCTGGGTTTCATCCTTAACCTCTAAAGGGGCTACAATGGACATTTTTTTCGGGGGGCCCTGGGAGGGATCCACGTTTCTGGGGAGGATTTCTGAGGTTTGATAGGTTTTGCTGATGTAGTGTTCTCAGGATGGCTCATGTAGTTGATCAGGAATAGAGTGCCAAGTAGATTAGATTCCCTTCCCCAGGTTGTTTATTGCTAAATTGCGGTCACTCCATCCAGGGACCTAGAGAAATCATCACAGAAAGCCTTGTTTTGAACCAACTGTGATTTGTTGCATGGCTTCATCTGCAAGGTGGATTCATTTACAATATTTTACTATATGTATTATAATGTATTATAATTATATTAATCCAATTTCTGGTCTCTTTGTTTGTTGCTTTGTATGACTATGTCCCACCCCCACGTAACAGGCTATGTAATGGCATGGCCCCAGGCAAAAAGACCATGTAACACATCACGTCACAGTCTGAGTCCTGAGTTCTGAGTTCCAACTGTAATACATGTGATGTGATAGTGTATATGAGATATGATATGTTTTCTTTTGTCCATTTATATACTTGGGATATCTTGGTATTTTCAAGAACTCACTGACTCCTGGTTCTCGAACCAGCGTCACCAGTGTTTCTCCACGTACTTTGCAGCAATTTGGCTGGATGTTCCTCGTCTTTGTTCGAGCACAAAGCTGCGGTTTTGGTGGGATCGCCAGAGCCGTAAGACTTGGACCTGATGTGTCCGGTGTCCGGTCCAGGGTTTCGGCCCTTGTGGCTGGTCTGAAGGGGTGCAGGCATGTGGAGACCTGGTTCCCCCCCCGGGTGAGGCAATAGGTGAGGTTCCCCTCTGCACAGATCAGGCCAGAGAGAGGCTGAATTGCGCAGAGGTAGCACCCGCAGATCTGACCGAAAGAAGACGACGATGCGAGATGAAGAACTGAAGCGCACCTCACTTCAACAAGCCTGGACGCCTACAGTCTACAGTAGAGCTTGGGTAACTCCCTGTTTTGGGCCAGCCAAAACTATGACCGGGTGACCTGACTTTGACCACTAAAGCATACTGTGGGCAGGTAGGGTCTTAGGGACACCAGACACGTTCCTTTATTTGGATCAGAACATCATAAAGTTGGACCGCAAACTTGCAATGAATGTGCAAGCGTGCAATTGATATCTTTTGAAGAGTCATGGAGAGTCAATGAGTCAGACGGACAGTAGACAGAGAGAGAGAGAGAAACCCTGAAGACAACAACTTACTCTCCGACATTCTCCGACTCACTAACATGGAAGTAGATGGCTTGGACCAGCATGGAATGAATTTGTGGATGACACAAATTCTTGGTACGAAAAGGGTGGATTCCACTTCCATGTGATGTGTTTGTTGGCAGCAATAACATCCTGTTCTGATCGCACACCTGGTTGAATAAAGGCTTCCAGACCACCCTCGGCCATGCTCGGTCTGTGTGGCACCGGTCTTGTTTTGGTCCCATTCCACCGTGGCACTGCCCGCGGCTTGGAGATTTTCATGTACCACGGTACCACTAGGTGGCTACTGACATCATGTAGGCTGTTAGAGTCCTAAAACGTAGGCCTGGAGAGGTTTTAGTTACATGGTTTTACACTCCAAAGGAGGGGGGTTCATCAACAGATCATTGACCAGTGACATCGAGTGCGAAACGGTGCCAACGTGACCTGCGAACGGACGGATTGAACAGTGAGGACCTGCGTGGGCACCCTGTGGTTCGCAAATGGGACATGGTGGTTTCAGATATGTTTGTTAAACTTGGGATCATTGGCACCCACTGACTAATATTGTTTCTAAGAGAGCGGGTGGTCATGGGGCCTGGGTTTTGGTTTACTCAACAGTTTTAGGTAAATGCTTCAGTGGCAGCCCCTCTCCATATAAACACACATATAATCTATTCCTGCTCTCTCTAGATGAACAAATATACTATGTATTCCTGAGTCAGGGTCATTTTATTGTTTTGGAAGCAGCAATCAGTCATTCAGATGGTTTTGAACAAGATAATTAGGAAAGAAGCAGGCCATAAAAGTGTTTATTTTAACAATTGTCCTCTAGATCTTTGCTTATAATTATGTTTAGATTTGGAAAGATTGTATATAGACGCTTTTATGTTTTAAAATATTCTCTATAGATCTCTGCAGATAAAGATTTCTTAATTTAAGCAACTATATAGAAACCTTGTATGTTAAAAGCTGTTTTCTAGATTTCTGCGGGTAAGAGCTTGCATTTTCAAAGCTGTTCTTTGGATCTTTGGGAAAGTAGATATCCCATATACAGTATGTGTGTTTTCATGAAAGGAAAGCTGTTGAAAGAACACCTTATGTGTTAATATATATATATATATCATGTTTAAATTGACATGACCATTTCCAGAGATCCAGAGGAAAGCTTTTGAAATGAAATATTTTTTTTATATATTTTATTGCAGAAATGATCATCCCCAGAGATCTAGAGGGAAGCTCTTGAATTAGAAGCTTGTACATACAACATGTTTAATATGTCTATATTATCTCTAGTGATTACTGTAAATAAATAAATCAAACTATGTACTCCAGAAAAGAGCTTTAGTCTTGTTCCCAGCACTCCCAGGGCAAAAACATACTGTAAAACACGGTGTTTTGTAGCATGTGTTTTCTTAAACTAAATAGACTAGAGCTAGAATAGATTTAGGTAGAATTAAACTGGATTTGAGTTGGAGCTAAGATAGAACTGAATTAAAACCACATTTCAACTAAACTTGTATTGAACTACAACTATGACCTTTTAAAATTAGATGAGAGTTGAATTAGAAAGGAGTTGGAATTAAAATTAGAAGTTCACCAGAATAAGATGTAGCAGAAATTACAAAGCCGAAGCAAATGCAACAAGCATTGAATTAGAACTACAGCTTACACAGATTCATAACAGTTTCATGTAAATTGGAAGGTGTCATTACAGTTTCATGTCAAGCTGATTGGACATGCAATTGGCAACCACATTGATACCAATCAGAAGTTAATGCACAGACTTGTACATGGAGATTTCGACAAGGACAAAGGGAGTGTTGGGCTCAGACGCTTTCATTGTAAGAGCAAAGAACATATGCCTTTAGGTGAGACTTAGGCTCACATGCTTGAAGGTTGAACGAAATAGAAATAACACAGATTGACCTAAATAGGAAAAACAAAAAACAAAACCTTGAGAAAACCAATAACAACCTAGGAAAAACAAAAAAAACTAAAAACCTTGGGCAAACCAACAGAAAAAACAACAATTCTGGGGAAGTCTTGAGGAAAGGGGGGATCCAGCCAAGAGTCTCTGAGAATTGTTTGTGTTTTTTCCCAAGGTTTTTTGTTTTGTTGGGTTGTCCTAGGTTGTTTTTGGTTTTCCCAAGGTTTTGTTGTTTGTTTGTTTTTTTCTAAGTCTTTGTTTTTTACTGCAAATTATTCAATGTTTTTTTGTAGTTTTGATTGTATTTGTGAAAACGTTGTCTACAAATACAGAAAACCAAAACCCAGGCCCCATGGCCACCCCTTCTGTTTTCAAATGAGTTTAAACCACAAACCAGAAAAACTGTTGAGGCCAACAATTCTGAGGGTGATATTGTTTGGTGCAGGATGCCATCCAACAATCCAAATCGCAAACACTCTAGGGACTGGAATATTATAATATATGCCGCCACATTGACCCCTGAAATCAACCACCCCGACCCCAACTGATCGCTACAGGTGCCACTCCCATTGGTCGTATTCTGGAATGATTGTTGACCGACTGGAATGGAATTCTGGAGTTTTTCAACGCCCAAACCCCTGCACTCCGGGGACTGGCTTTAGTGCCATGGAAAGTCAGGGCGCCCAGATTGGCCACGGCGATGCGCCCAAAGCTGCACTGGTCCATTCTAACTTCGAAGATTCTTGTTTTTCTCCACCTTCGCATGTAAGGAGATGATGCCACGACACAAGGCGATCGAGCTGTTGCCAAGGCGGTTCGCACCATTCTGTCGGCCAAGGTGGCCCCAGGTAGCTCAATCCCTATCTCACCTGAGACCACCGAGTGGAGAACGCAGTCAGTGAAGCTCCATGCTCAATCTCCCAAGGATGCTTTTCTGGCCGCCCAGCCTGTGGGTGTTAGTTCTGCTTAGTTTCTCTATGTTTTTCTGTTTACAATCTGAGTCACTAACATGGAAGTGTAATTCACCACCTGTTTGGTATTCGGAACATGATCCTCCGGCGGACCATGGCATCCACGTTGGGTCGCCTTATTGTTTCAGGGAGTGTTCCATGCATTTGTTTATATCTACCAAGAGGTCACTTGGAAGGTCTTGGTATATAGAACTTATATTTACTTCGTATGCCGATGAAGTGTAGCTTCGTGTTTGCATATCAGTCAACTATCCATCTCAGAGAACAAATTAAATAGATGGATCATGATGGATCCCATTTCCTTTTTGAAGCCCTTGCAGTGCAGTCTAGGTTTTTTCTGATTGCGTTGACTGAAGTTTGGTACGCATACTGATCAGTTCTGCTCAAAGTTATTTCTGATGTGTTGGGCACATCCCAAGACTACAAGAGCAACCCAGTTCAGCCTGAAACATTGGGGTCACCCACGCATGCAGCCCATTCACGGATTCTGCCCCTTTGTTTTCATGGACCAAACAAGCACCTCAGGATGGGATGAGCTCCCTGTGCGATGCTGTGGATTCTCGCTTTGGCTTCGCGTACCTGCGAACGGAGGAGAAGCCACAGACAGGCCGGGAACCGGGCGAAGCTGGGTCTCGGAATCTAAAAAAGATACTAAGTCAATCTAAGTCAGTGGCTGAAGACCAAAGATAGCTGAAGATAGCAACCTGCAACCTGGGGCAACCGGGCTGCTTAGTTAAGCTTGGTCAGTTTTGAGCACAATTTGGACTTCTGAGCCTCTAGGGGTGGACGCAGAGTTGCACTCGACGCAATCGGACAGTTGCAGATGCCCCAGGTATGCTCAGGTACCAGAAGACCCAGATGCTCCATTTTAAACCCTATGTAGGGGTGGTATTCGAGCCGAATGAATATCATAGCATCATAAACACGGAAAGAACCCATTTGACACCTGTCTTCATAGAACACGAAGGATTATATATCCTATCGGATTTGTTGTTTTTAAAGGGATTCCTAAATGAACTCCGAGCCCATCGAAAAAAAAAGAAAAGGTCATCTTTTAAATACCTAGGTTGGCAGTCCAAACGAAAATTCACACACATTTTCGGAGATGGAGTGACTGGCTAAGAAAAAGGGGCTACCGTGGATCCATGAGTTGGCCCCACCCATCGCTGTTGGGGGTCGGGCGAGGGCCATGCGCATCCAGTTCACCATCACGATATTTTTCATTTGAGCAACTGCCAAAACGTGCAATGACGAATTGTAAAGAGCGGTCATGAACTTTAGGAATTTGGCGCCCAAACGTGCAAAATCGATAGGCCCTCTTCAAAGCGATAGCCATATCTCTGCAGTTATTTTAATATATTCAGCTATGTTGACATGGTGGCTAAAGCCTACAAACGTGATAGGCCCCCTCAAAAGTGAGAACCGTTTAACCTTGTTGAATCATGTCCTCTACTTGACAGTATGTTTTGGCGCCCTGGAGCTGCTTTCGCACGGTCCAAAGCGAAAGCATTAGGGGCTCCAACAGCAGACCTTTTCAACATATCCTCCAGTCCTGGAGCGGAACGTCCTCGTTGCGTCTTCCACTCATCGCTGTGAGGTGAGAAGAAATATGAGGAGGAGGTTTCAGAGGAAGTACGCGCTGCACGGAAACTAGCTGGACACCTGACATATCACCTACCTGGGTTACCTCGCACATCCTGTCGGGGTGTCCAATGGAGACCTATAAGATCCTGGAAGTAGTGCAAGGTTGTCGATTGGTAACGCCTTGGAAGCAGCTGGTAACAGCATGGTACAAAATGATCGTGTTTGACATTTTCCTGGTTGTTTAATTCGGTTGGATGTTTGATTGTTTCACTTGCTTGTGGCATGGCACAGTGGGGGTTTGCTTATGTTTTGCTTGTTTTTACATAGGGAAGTTAGCAGAGGGCAAACCTGGATACCTATTAAGCCGTTGTTTTGTGGCAGCTGAATCAGAATGTTGGGTGTATAAACTGAAGCTCCCGTTTGGTGCTTGCACCCCAGACAAAATTAGGAAGACAAGACAAGCAGTCCTTTAGAAACAACGTATATAAACCACCATGTGGTAAAAAAGAAGTTAGCCAAGTTGTGTACCTTTTTGTATCGCATCATCAATCTTCATATCTGAGGAAAGCTCATCGCACACATTCCTCCAAACTGTGCGTGGATGAGTCGAAGGCGGTGCTTTCATACCGAGCTCCAGCCCCTTGGACCATTCTTTTTTCTCGTGGGCCTCCGACAGCACATGAACTTGAGTGGACACGACGCTTGGAGGATTGGTGGGTCATGTCCGTCCATCCGCACATCCATCCGGACCATCCCACACTCCACAGGTGTCCTTGGACCATATTGACCATATCGTCTCTGCCTGCGACGGGCGTGTCGATGGGTTGTGAGATGTGGCTCGCCGGTTGGGGGATGAAAAACCACGAATTCTTGCCAAGTAGCTGGGAAAAATTGTATTAAGATGTATTGCTGTAAGTACCTCTCTACATACAACCTCGCATTTTCGGTGCTTTGGAGAGTCTACGAACTTGGATTCATCCTGTTCTACTTCCCAAAGGAGCCTTCAGTGAAGCCTTTTTCAATTCATTTCTACAAGCTCCCTATGGCTTTGCAATTGTAACACGCCGACTGCACGACTAATTTCAATGCCCGACAGCACGACGGACACCCTTCTGCCCAACTGCACGACGCAAGGGCAGTCCAATACCGCACCCGAGACCGCAGGCATTGACATAAACTCGAAGACCCGAACACCGAACCCGCTGTGTGTCGCAACATCGGGGTGTGACCCGGGTTCGGTTCAGACTCAATTCGGGAGTCTTAGCCTCAATAAAGCCCCAAATGTCATCGACAGCAACCGCTCTTGTTGTCGTTCAACTATTAGAGTTGGTATCAGTTGGTTGCCCATTTAAAGAAAGACACCGGATCCATGAATTTCTTTCATGTTTGCTTCAACAAAAAGATGAAGTTCACACTAGCTCGCTTGGTTTCCCTCAACCTTGTAGGCCGGATGAGTCATTCAATTCCTGAGGGAATGACAAGAATCCACGATACATCCCTTGAAAGAAATCCAACAATATAGTATAAACCTATAAGACCCCATGTCGTGAAATGCCACGCATTTTCCTGGTTTCTGATTCTTCATTATTATTCATGGCATGTTTGTTTTTCCATGATTGTGTTCACTTCCTGGAGCAGCGTGGCTGCTCAAAGATGGTGCAGTGAGCATCCGGTTCTAGTGAGAGAAGGGGTGCCTTTGGTTCCAAAGACTATAACAACCAAGAGAGCTGAATCAGGGCCTTTGGTTCCATGCAGAATCCGGACTCCATTGGTCCATTGGCATTGTTTTGCAAGACATATCGCTTCAATTTGCCACCTACACAGCCATCTCCGAGGTTGCCTCCTCATCCGTGGCAATACTTCTCGAAAATCCATCGCACAGATCGTACGACCTTGTATCTTGGATCGCAGGTGGACTTGCACAATTCTGCTGATCAATGATCAAATCTGGCTGAGCACATTGAATGGGACAGCTTGGATTCAAAAGCCGTTGCCAGTGCCGTTGCTCCATGTATATCTATATATGTAATTATACATTTAATGTTGTTTTCTCTTTATCTCCAAGCAAGCACAAGGTTTTTCTTTGCTGCGTCACATATTTTGTTTTATGGATTGGGATGACCATGGTACCGTATAAATACATTAGCCAGCAGTCGTTGCTTTCAAAAGATTTCAATTCTTGTCTACTTCTGTGAAAGGCATAGTTCTATAGGCAATCCATGGCAATCCAAGCTGATTGAAAGCATAAACATGAGCGCAACAACTCCAAAGAATTCCCTCTGTACTGCCGAGGTACTGTCAGCCACCAGCTCCACCGCAACTTGGCAGAGTTTAGCTTCATGTCGAACAAACTTGCTGCCTACAAGAAATCGCTTTTCTCCCACTGAAGGTCTCACCAACAATCCACCTCACAACCGCCCTCCACGTGTTATTCTTTGTCCATCCTGTAAAGACTCACCGCCTCGCACCACTCTCAAACCACCCAAACCTTCTCTTAGTGCTCGCCTAAAAAGTACCCACACACGCCCACTCCTCTCCACTCTCCCACACAGGCAACAGAGCCGCTCGGTGCGGCGGGGAAACCGCCGGAGCTCTGGGATTTTCTTCGAGGGCAACGCCCTTCTGGAGCTCCGGCGTAGCTCCACCGACAGCGTGGCCACCGGCTCCATGCTGGGCGCGGCCGCGGGCGCGGCTGCGGCGGCGGCCAACGCGTTGGCGGCGGAACTGAAGGCATCAGACTCCTTTGAGACCTTGGAAGATGAATCAGGAGAGGATGGCAGAAAGTTTGACAGCATTGCAGTGAGCATCCTTGAGGGCACGGGCGTTCAGTGGTTTCAAGACACTTGTGAATCAACATTTACTTCACTTTGTACATCAAGCCACATCAAGCCACATTGTTCCGTCGCACAGAATTATTTTATAAAAGGGAGGGGTTCAAAGAGGGATCTTCAAGGAGAAGAACTGCTTGATTTGCTTGTCATGAATAATGAATTTAATTAAACATGGTTTCCGAGTTTTCCCGGAACAGTCAAAGCTTTGCTGTTTGACAGCGGGAAACAAGAACAAGTTGGACATTACAGGAGATATGCTAGTCAACTACGCTGAGAGATGCTGAGAGCATTGTTTGAAATCTTCGGGTGGCCGTCAGGTTTCTATCTCAAAATCTCAGAGTATATTTTGAACTCATTTGGATTCAAAGTCGCACGATTCAAACCCATCCTGAACCTACTATTCAAGCCCCGCTGTTTGATATAGGTTTCAACAATTCTGGTTCGTCATTGTTAGTCTCATGGCTGTCCTCCGCCTCCAATCTGCGCTCGAAAGAATATACACATACCGACATCCCAAGACACCCGGTCATTTAAGCATATATTATATATGTGTTTAATTCATATAATTATCTCGTGGAAAGAGATAAACTGCCCCTTCATGGGGTTGCCGGTTTGCCTGCCACACTGGACCGTCAGTATAGTGCAACAAAAAGAGGTGTTCAAACACTGTTGCACTGTTTGGCACCGTTTGCGCCGTTTCAAGTTTTTGTGTCTATAGGCCAGTCTCACAGTTGGTCGTTTTCCCATTCTCTCCGAACTCCAAAGAGTGCCGCACTACCACAATTTCCGCTTGCTCCAGGAACTATGCTTTCCTCAAAACCCTTCAAAAGCCCATATATAATTAAGCTTCGTGGAAAGGAAGACCTAGGTTCCCTGACCCAGAAGGGGTGCTTCTTCCATCGATGTGATCGACCCGGTGACCGTCGCCAGGCACCGACGAGTCCGAAGCTTCGGAGCTGCGCATGGAGCACGCGCTGACCGCCTTCGAGCACGGCAGCTCCGCGCAGTTCGCGCGGCTCACGTCCGTGCGGCCGATCTCCTCAGGGCGGCACGAGTGCCCTGGATGACGGTGATTTTGGGTGGGGCCGGAGGAGTATGGGGTTTTGGGTGGGTATGCATGGGTTTTCGTGCAGGTCAATAAACAATTCAACATCTGTAGAGGGTCCCAATTTTTGAAGAGCCAGAGGGTTTCAAAGAAACGAAAGAAACACCCGCTCATTGGCGAGGCAGGACTCCCTGTTTTCTTACGTTGCCGGGTGCCTCACCAAAGGAGTTGTCAACAGTCGACGGCTATTCTCAGAGCTACAAGATTAGGGGTTGGAACATTGGAACAAAGAAACGAGTCTGAACTCTGAACATCTTAGAACCACATTCATCAGAAGAGCACATCTATTCAATTTGCGCACAGCCAACCACTTCAGAAAAAGTGTTTGTCCCAGATGCATCCAGATGCGGCCCTCAACCATGTATAACCCGTGCTCACAACTTCCGGTCTCGAATCCGGAAGGGATTTGTGAGGTGCCCAGTCCGCTTGGGGATGAAGCACTTTGTAGTTTTGCATGAACTTTATCAAGTGTTCTGTGCTTCTCAAAGAACTGATGACCGATGATGCCCACCAAAGGTGAAAGCTAAGTCTTGCTTTTAGATTGGAGGCCATCGCTACTAGGTTGGCCATGGCTATTAGGTTCCTTAAAGATCCTGAAGTCTTTTTCTTAAGTCACTTGTTACTAATAGCTTCTTGTTACTACTAGTAAGGCACTTGTTACTACTAGCGATGCACTTGTTACTAATAGCGATGCACTTGTTACTAGTTTTGTTCTCATTTGATCCGAGGTTTCTCTTCCGGTTCTTGGTGCAGCGCCCGAGTAGCTCCTCCAGTGCGAAGGCCTCCAAGCCGTGTTTGGCCAAGGGAGCCGTGCACGCCTTCGCTGAAGCGTTTCAGATCTCCACTGGAATTTTCACCAATCCGGTCAAGACGGGAGGCTTGGCATGGCCCGGATTTTTGTTAAAGCCACCCTTGCTTATATAATCAATATATAATTAAATAGGTGCCTACCTAATTACGTAAGGGAGTAAGCTCCTAGCTACTTAAGCTTCTAGTAACCGGGCGGGGGGGGAACTTCCTTGAAGAAGTGCTCGCACTATCTCGCACTAATGATTTGGATCGCCGTGTGATGTTTGTTTGGCCTGGGGGGGCCCCACGTTCACAAGTCCAAGAGTCAGAGTCCAAGACTCAACACTTTGAGTTGAGTGGCCTGCAAAAGTTCGTGGTAGGTGGTGGGAGGGATGGGCTCATCACATCTCATTGGTCCATGAGGGTTGGACACTGGTGGAACCTTTTGAGTAGACACTCGGCAGAAACTCCCACGTGTATCTCAGGAGCCGGAGACGAGCAGGTGGATAAATCACAAGATCTCCTGGTTTTTGCACGAGAACGAGCTAAAATCATGGGATCCTTGGTGGAAGTGGGAAAGCTGAAGCCAGAGCAGATGGTTTCAGCGCTGACCAGCTGCGATCTGCCCATTTATTGGCCTCCCGACGGGTGCTTTGATTGTTTTGTGGCCGTCGTGCTTGAGCCACATTTGAAGGACTTGGGTGTTCCATACCCCTTGGACACGCAAAAAAGACAAAGAGATCTTCCACATGGAGATTTCAATATGTTTCAATCATGTTCCAGGTCTCGTTTGGTACAGATTTTGGTTCAACAAGTCCAGGAGATGCGCGTGGCAGTGGACGCAGCCTTCACAGAGTCCTTGGAAGCCGAGGATGCTCAGGCAGATGCTGGCGATGAGAACGCTTCGGAGGTCGAAAGCGAGATAGGTCGAAGCGACGATGAGGCGAGAAAGGTGCCCATTCTTCTGTCCCACTTCTTGCAACGGAGGCGCTTTCTACGGCGCTGGCGCTTCCAAGACTACTTGGATCAGGATTTGAAGAACGGGATTCCACTCTCGAATCTTCTGCGGGGAGCAGGACCCAACCCACTCTATTTGCCCACATTTCATTTGGATGTGGAAGCACTGCGTCCTGGTTGCGCTTGGTGGCCTCAAAGAGCTAGAATCTGTAGATTCATGGTGGTCAGCTAGGGTCAGCATCCAGGGTGAACTTTTTTCGGGACATGGTGGTCATGTTCGGATCTACCAGGCGAGAAGCTGAATGTGTCCCTACTCGTAGCTTCGGATGCAGGTCTATAGTATGACCATGTATGACCTTATACAATCCTCCTGAATCCTCCTACTGAGATGTTGACCTGCAGTATGCCCAGCAAACTGGTTAGACCGTGCCAGTGTGGACCTTTCCTTTCTTTCAGTTATGACACAGACAGACTTGGGCTTGTTCCTAACCAATGGTCCCTTCTTGCGATGTGTCTGAGCGGGTTCAAGACAAGATAGGATGGATGGGGTAGGTGAAATGCGGAGTTTGGAGAGGGGGAGCCACTTGTTCGAAAAAAGGTGGATGTATGTTGGACATGTCCAATCTAATCGAACAAACTTTTATGATGCACCCCACAGAACTTGTCACAGAACCCCCACAGAACTCCGCAGTGGTGATGTTTACTTATTTCCAGACAATCCATAGTATGGAAACTATTTGCCATATTGGAGTGGTTTTAGATGTATTGAGAGTCAATGTAGGTACATCTTCCATACATGGATTGTTGGGGTATCGAATTACTTGTCCCTCGCCGAGCCCAACTTGTTTCACATTTGGGGTTCTGAGGAGAATTGTTGTAGTAAAGAGTTGAGTTCGAGAATGCTGGAAATATTCAGCTCAAAGCAACATCGGGTGATTGTTTGCTTTACTTTTATTTGATGATCTTTGATGTCTTTTGATTCATAGAAGCATTTTGTTGAGCATCGATTTCCCAAGAATTTTGTTGGAAAGGGAGAGGATGATGTGATGGTGATGCCAGTGGTCCTTGCCCAAACAAACTCAGCTGATAAGCCAAGATTGTTTTTAAACCTTGGAACATGTTCAGTCTTGTGATTCTTGGATCAGTTCGCGCCAGAAAGACTTCAGTTGGTTCATTTGGTTTGGAGAACATGTGTGACACTGTAAACAAACGCAAAAGAGAAAGTTATCCCCTACCTGTCCCGCCTCATGCTGTCTCTTGGATGGATCTGGATTTGGTGAAAGGTAGACAAGGTGTTTTGGCTGGGTGAGACTGGATCCGTGGGGAGTGGAGAGGAATATTAAGAACATCTTGGGTCCCCTACTCAACTGGTGATTGAACCACTTTGACATGTACATTTCAGAGCCTTTCAAGGAAAACAGTGAGACAGAATCTCCACGGTGGTGGTGTGTTGTTTGCACAACTCTCAGCTCTTCCTTCAACAACAGTGATTGTCAGATTATGATATATACGCCATAGGAGAACAATGGGTAGATTCACCACAGTTTGCTCCTGCTCCTGCGAAACTGAACAAACAAATTTGTGGTTGACCCCCGAATATAAACATCATAGACTACGTACTGTACTAGAGAGGTCAAGCTATCAGGATTCAAAGAGCTGCAGGTGTTGTGTTTCAAACCGAAAGTGTTTCAGCTCCAAGATCTCCGTGCTTCTCTTCCGTTCTCAGGTGTGGTTTGGGCGGTGAGGGTGGCTCTTGCACGGTGGAGCTGCTGCCCTCAGAGGCCTTGAAGCCATCCTGGTGGATCAATCTGATGCTCGTTTGGTGAAACGCTTCAGAACATGTCAAGTTGTTGCGTTTTTGCTGGGGCTTGGGTCGGTATAGGCTAGGGGTAGGCAGCTGTCATCATCAAACTTTAGCCATAGTACAAAGAAGAGCTCAGGTTCGAATCCCACAGAGCGTCGACGAACTGGTGTAAGCGGCTTGGGGGTGTCCGTGTGAGCTGTGCTCCCCAACCCAGTCAGTTTAGGGTCACTTCCGCCCACAAAAGGGACGACACAAACGACTTTCCCTCCCGGAGATTCAAGATATTCAGGTACCACCAGAAATATCCAGATATCAATTATATGCTTCCCCAAAGGATCTAAGTTTTGCCTTTGCAGTCAACCTCACATTGCTTTCCGGCTGCGACTAACGCTAGCTTAACCGCTTCCGACCGGCACTGGATCGGTCGGGTGGCGTCAAGAAACCGACCTGTGGCGACAAGACAGAGGATGAAATTGATGGGTTAATGAAGTGGTTATAATTTATGTTATAATCCCTGTGCGAATTTCCTCTAAAAATATCAGACAACCCGGGTTGTCATTAAACAAGGAGAAAAACACTGGAACCTGGGGGTTCCCATTTTCTATAAGAGCAAGAGGTGATAGATTTATTAGAGACTTTGGTTGTCGAGCAATACCTCGAGATTTGGTGCTGATTTTTTGGGAAAAGAGTCCTTGCAAAGCCAGTTTTGCAAATCCAAGCACGGGCTCAACCCACAGATGCAGAGATGATACCAGGATCATCTATAGATGATATCAGGACATATGTCACATATGTCTCCAATTCTTTAGGCCTTTTGGCCTTTTCCTTCAAAGTCTCCAATTCTTTAGCAGAGGCATTCTGGCTATTGATTCTTTAGAGAATGTCCTTGTTTTTCTAGTTCCACTTCTGGACCCTGAACCTGGGGGTTCCTAAAGAATTGACAGTCCGGGTGTGAGTGCGAATTCGAAGGGGGATGTTGTTTTATGAAGTGATTTAATGAAGTGGTTAAATCATACATGAATTGTTTTGATGTTGATTTTACAATTTCAGCATCAGGTGCTTCCTGATCACATTTGGGCCACTTCTTGGGATCTGGGGCCCTTCCATCACCCTTTTCTCCAGACGAGCGGGTGGGTGTTAAGGTCAATGATTCATGAATGAACTCCCCGTTGGGATTGAAAAACATCTTCATGTGCGTATCGTCGAAGAGCATCACCACACGAAGACTGGTCGCGAGCGCTCAGGATGGGCCACAGCGTGGATATGCCCCGACCACACGAAGACTCCGAAGCCTGGAGTATTGTGTTTTTTTTCCTTCTAATTCCATGCTTGCACGTTGTTTGTAGCCCAAAAAGACTCAAATTCATCGTGACTAATTACTGTAAATAACTGCTTTTGGGCCTGAAAGACTGTTGATGGGCCTCTTGACCAGCAAAAAGCTGGCCTAGCTGGCTTTCAAATGTGTTGGTCCAACAAGAAACACCCAACAAACATTCTCAGAGTCCAGCTCCCCCAACTTAGAAGATGACTACGCTTCGGATGGACATCTTATTCTGGCCCATCTAGGAACTTCCGTGACCCAACTTGATGGATTGAATGCCAGCCGACCAACCCAACCCACACCTTGGAATAGGCATTTTTTTGGGCAGTTCGCGAGGCCTGGAGTGCTGAAACAATAATATACAATAACTGCAAAGGGCTGAGTGAATTGGTTGATTCTGAGTTGATTCTGTTTAATTTGGTGATACTGTTTGTACACGGGTGTGCTTGTTTTCTTGGAGAAGTTTGGGCGTTTGGCTATGCTCAGCCAACCAAGGATGTCTTAGTGGCTGGCCCTGCACCAAGCACCTGAGCCGCTCAACAGGGCAAAGAAAAGGCGAAAGCAACGGCCCCACCAGCAGCGCCATTGAAAGCAGAAGAGGCCGAAGAAAGCTAACCTCGCATGCAGGAGAGCAGGGGCATGCGTGCGCCGCCCGAAAGAGGCAGTCGCACAGTGCGACTTGATTTCGAAAGCATAAGATGTGCTTTTGAACAAAGAAACATTGAAAATGAGGTCGGCACAGGAGCTATGCTTGCAGGGTTCACAGTGATTTGGTTCAAAAGTCAAGACCAACTACTATCGAACAGCTAATATGATTGACCTTTCATCTACTGTGTTACCTTCAACTTGTTGAAGAAGCGTTTTACAGGCACAAACGCAGTTTGAGGATAAACCCATGTTGGCCGCAACCCCTTCTCTTGTTCCATGCGCTTGGTTTATGTGGATCGTGCTGTAAAGAGCTAAATGCCGTACCATTTTTCAAAACGATTGTACATTGTATAGGTACTCCAAACGCTCAATGCAGGCAAACATGACTGGCATTTGGGTGATGAATGCATGTCATGTGTTTCTACATATAGAGTGTTTGGGTAGAGAACCTGAGCCTGTTATACTACTTGCATTTGCTGCTTGCCATTCTCTCCATACTTGGTGGTAATGAACACAGAATTAGTTTTACTTGTTGCTTACGGTTGCTTGATATACTGTATCTCATTTTACTTAAGACTTGGACAACTTGGACAGCCAATGACAGCGGAAAGGTCACCTAGACTGTTCCAACTAAAGTTTAGACCTTCTACTTGGACCCCGCCGTCTAGGTGTAGCTTTTCCTTTTTGGTATGAATGTGTAACGTGTATATCTCTGTGTATAGATAGTTGAAAGCGGGCTGTAGCTCCAAACCACCGAACCACGCCCGGACATGAAGGCGGCCAGTCAGGATGCGATGGATACGAGCCCAAAACCACCAACGTGCAGCTGTCTAAACGTGAGAAATCCAACCAGTGACGCTTCGTCCACCGTTGTTCTTGCGACACGTTGCATGACTTGTCGCATGTCAGGTGGTGAAGAATCTTCAAAAGGCCGACGCTCGACGTTCCACGCGTTCCACGCGTCGGGTGGTTTCAGAGGTTGAAGCAGCCTAGCACCCTACTATAGCCGATTTGATAGAACCTAAAAGAATAAAAATAACGCTACTACGGGCTCCTGGCATCGCTACTAGGAGCGATCGGACGCTACTAGGAGCAAAGGGCATCGCTACTAGGAGCGATCGGACGCTACATGGATTGTAAACCTCTTCAGGCCTGGGGAGTCCATTTTCCAGGTGCTCAAAAAGCTTCAGCTCGACAAGATCCCTCCGGAGAATCAGGTCAAGGTGCGGAGCGACCTCCGAGCGCCGGTAGCTAAGGACATGTCTATTTCTAACAAGAAGCTACTAGGTTGGAGGCCATTACTATTAGGTTGGAGGCCATCGCTATTCGGTTGGAGGCCATTAATCACTACTTAGTAACAAGTAACAAGAAGCTACTAGGGGCTCCTGGCATCGCTACTAGGAGCGATCGGACGCTACGTTCGGGGCTCCTGGCCTTACTAGGAACAAGGTTCGCTACTAGGAGCAAAGGGCATTTCTACTAGTAGCTATTGTGCCGAAAGTCCGAAAGGTGAAACACGGCGAGATGGGCCATGCTGACCATGCTTCTTCACAGCGGGGAATGGAGTATGTTGAACCTGGTCTTGGCTCATTGAGTGATGTTTGATTTGCTCATTGGTGGGTGAATCCACTTCGCAGCCCCCAGGAAGGTTTGGGATCGTTTCCCAGTTCCTTGAGCAAATCTAATGCAAATCCAATGGAAGCTAGGAACCAAATCGAGGAACCAATCATTATCGGGCGAGCGCTTCTTCAAGGAAGTGCAAAAAGCTTCCTTGAAGAAGCGTGAGCTATCCTGCGTGAAGTTACTAAACTAACTTAGCAGCGTAGTATAGCTTACTCCAGGGGGAGCGGCCCCCCCCGCCAAAAAAATCTATATATTACAGATCCAAGCAACAGTTTTTCGAAAAGAGACACGTACAGAGACACCACACTCCCTTACAGTGGAGGCTTGGAGGTTTGAAGTCCCCCGGATGGATCATCTGAGGTAGCTTACGACTGAACAGGCCGTGCGTCCTGTCCAAACAGTTTTTTGGGGGGAAGTAGACAACAACGTTTATGGCAGAAATATGCCGAAGGATGGCGGAAATCCCGGACTGGATGCTTGCAGCATCTTGGACACCTCCAAATATTTCAGCTTCACAATGCAGGGTCATTGCCATTCCAGGGACGTCATCGCTGCCATTCCTTTTCCGACTCATCGGCACTTTTGGTGACATCCGCGATGTTTTTGGGTCCCAGTTCGCATCCGTTCGCCACAAAGGGCGATGCGGCGATGGGATGGAGGGAAAACTCCACAAACGGTGGAACGGTGGGACCGTTCAGGTCCGAAGCCTTGTGGTTTACATCTACTGCTTGGTCCAAGAAGCCTGGAATTCCTATGGCTCCTTGGCCTGCTTTTCACGACCGAATCGAGGCCCCGAGGCTTGTTGGTCAGACTTTTGTTTGTCTCTCAGACCCAGAAGAGATAACACATAGATAATTGGGCCTCCAACATATTGATGGGCTTCATTGCCAGTAAGACGGATTGATTAAAGCCTAGGTGGGAAGCCTTCACGTCCAGACTTTGACAGCTGAGGACGAAAGGGCTTGCTGGATGGCAGGAGTGAGGAGCCAAGACCGACAGCCAGGAAGATGATTTCCTCTAACTCTGACCTAGATGAGCCGAGACGAACGAGTGTTTTGGAGGGGAGGTGTGCAGTCAATACGAGTCAAGACTGGGCTGGTAGCTATTTCACAGCTGCGAGCTGCGAGCCCCTAGCTGCTCGCTACTACATGACCTTCCGAATACTCAGCGACTTGGGGATGCCAATGAGAACGCAGTGAAGGCAGCTTGTATCCCATAGCACGTAAAACATCGGTGAAACCAGTGATCTCATGTCCGGCACTGCTCGGTCAGTCTCGCTGAAACCATGTCCGACCACGCGGTCAGATTACGGACCACTCCGGAGGATACACGAAAAGGTGATGTCCAGGTGATGTCCAGTTGTCTGAAGTTCACGGTGTTCAGGATCCCTCGCAGCATTTTTGCAGATCAAGAGCTGAAGAACCAGACAGTCCTGAGCTCCAATTTTTCGGGGATGTCCAGTTGCCGCTATATACTTCTATCATTTTCCATCTATTAATAAGGAACCATGGTGTTGAGGCCGGCCTGCTATTGGAACTGAATCTACTGGGTGACTCTTTGTTCACAAGACCCGACCTGCAGCATCTGACAGCCACCCGCCTGCCCCATGGCTGCGACATGGATCGCCCGTGCTCAGCCTCTCAGACTGAAGGGTTCTCCAAACACCTCAAAGTTCTTGAGTTGATCCTTAAGGGAGCAACAATATCATTATTTCTTGTGCCAGCGTCCTCAAAAGTCACCGATGTTGACCTCGTAACTGAACCTCGGTCCCCAAAGCATCAAGGGCGGTCACATTGACCTCACACAGTTTCCAACATGAGAATCGGATCACATGGAGGCTGCAAATGATTGGGCTATCCACTCGGCATTGGCTGCGAACCTCGGGGCCCGGGCCCCTTTCCACCTGCCCCAGTACAGCGATGTTCTGCGCCATTGTGATTGTGCGGTCGAACGTGGTGGTTTCACTCGCACGGTGCAGTTCAAATCATGTGTATAAACCGAAACCAGGAGTTCCAAGGGGGTGATACGAGGCAGTTGACAGCTCAAGCTCGACATCGACTGGAGGTTGAAACTTGGCGAAGCGGTTGAAACCAAGAGGGATCTCAAGAACGGGATGGGACGACGAATGGAGGAACAGGGGGATCGATCCCTGATGGTGAAGACATCCAGCGCAAGAGTAGAGAGCAGTACACGACGAACTTTCACTGCAACAATCCGATGGGACAAGCGACCGGGCCCTACTGAATGCACAACGCTGGTCCATTTCCGGTTGGGCTGTTGGTGTTCTTCCGCAAATGCCAGGACAACTGCCCTAGGGGCTAGCGGCTAGCGTTCAAAGACCATGACAAAAAATGGATGACTGGTTTGGTACTCTAAAATCTTAGTAGTAATCTTAGCATATATTTTATTAAAGTCTTTGCTTTGCAAAGACCAAATTGGGAGATCATCCAACTTGCAAGTGATACAGGTTTCCACAGGGAACAAAGGTTAACGCTGTGGTCCTTGTGGATTTGAGAGAATTTCAGAGTATATAGGCGTGAACTCCTCCAAACTATATTGAATGCTATGCATTCTTTGTTTGTTCGTCCTTCGTACCGCTCTTTGGATTTTCCAACATCGGACTTGCCGGGTGTTCCCGCAGGCAGTTTCCTCAGAACTTTGATTGCACATGGCACAGAAAAAGGTACACCCCTTGAAGACTCCCTCAAATCTGGACATGTCAATTTCATTCGCCAAGAATTGCCAAGAGACAAAGATAGAGAGAGAGAGAGACGCACTTGAGATCAAGTACAAACGACTTGATTGCTCCAACCCCTGAAGAATGCCTAGGAAATTCAGGTAACAGTCGTCTTTACTAGCCATCATCGGTTATTACTGGGAATGGACATGAATGGAATACTAAGTATCCTAAAGTTCATATTATGCCCTATAGAAGAAGACCAGTTTTGGCGAAGTGTAAATTCCTGAATTCGGGTCTAACATAATGGACTGGACATCCCAGGGCTTTCGCCCAGAATCCACCCTAAACACTGGACCGACCAGTCCTCCACGACAACCAGTTGGCCTTGGTCGACACCATAGCTGCAGCTTGCGTCACACGCACACTCACCAGGAAGAAGAGTTCGATGAATATGCAGAGGAGTTCGAAGAGCACTTGGTCACGGTTTTGGACTATAAGCTTCCCGAGGCTCTTTGGAAGCGTGCGGACGACGGGCCCGATCCGACTGAACCGCTTGGAATGGAGTGCCAAGCATCCAAATGACCTTTTTGTTTCAGGGGTCGAATCTTAATATGAGCAACCACGGGCCCTCCCAGGGCACCCATTTGGTCTATGGACACTGGATATCTCATGAGATCATACGAGTAATCTTGGCAAGCCGAGTAATCTTGGGCGGAAGTTTCAAAACAAAGAAAATTGTAGGAAGAGGTTCATCGTTTTGCGAAGAACACTCGTTCTTTTTGTCTTCGGATGCCTCTCGCCTCTGCGGCGAAGCAGCACGTGACACTAAGCCGTGTTGAAATCGCGAATCATCCCGCTCACCATTGACACGCCGCCTTTAGACACGCGTGGTTCCCTTCCCCCCAATGGCACGGAGCCACGCAAGTTTGCACGTTCCACCCAGATCGCCACAGCGACATCACGGACGTATTTCACCGCGCCATTCGCCGCAGAGTAGACACAAGCATCTGACACCTCACCACTGATCATCCCCCTCACCAGCAACACGCTGAGTTTACACACGCATTCCCTTTCCCCAATGGCACAGAGCCACGCACTTCCTACCAAGGCCGCGCCAACCCGCACGCCGCACTAGACTTCCACTACAGTTCTGAACCCCGAGCTCTCAGAAGCTGCTTCCTCCACTAGATTACAAGATTTTAACGACAAAGTTCTGAGCGTCTGAGTGTGCTACATTTGGACTGCAGCCAGTTCTGAGCTGGATGCAAGCGCGGTTACGGTGCGTGGGCTTTTCGTTGATATCGAAGTTGCCAAAGCGTGCAGCTGTCGTCGAACATCAAGGTGGACAATGTGTGCGCCTGTCGCCGAAACCCAAGGTGAAGTTGCCACAGTGTGTAACGGTCATAAAACTGAAGTGAGAAATTGCCAATGTGTGTTATGGTCGTCGAACATGGCGGTGGACGTTGCAAAAGTGTGTATGTGATTGAAAATCAAGGTGGAAAGTGAAAAAGTTTGTAACTGTAACTGTCAGAATCAAGGTGCAAAATTGTAGCACCGTTAGAAAATTAAACAATCAAGGTCCCCTACTGAGTGCATATGAGTGCATATTAATTTTGTGGAATTACTTTCACCAAAGTTAACAGTTGCTGGTGCGTGGGGGCATTTGAGGAGGTCAATTTTTTTTGACATCAGACGTTGTAAATTTGCGATATGCAGATAAGTTGAGATTTGATAAGATGTGCTAAGCAAAACAGAGAACCATCCAGACCTGACACAGGACACACCGAGCATTGAACCTAGCAATTAATTTTGTGCATGTGCGTGCTCAAATAGAAATGAGTGAAATGAGGAAGACGTTCAAACATGTTCAAAAAAAACAGTTACACATTACAAGAAATACAGAAAGAACCGGAATATAATTCATGTTCATGTTTGCACGCGCCTTTTAATTTGGGGGTGGGTCAGTTTTGTCAACGTGTCCCTTGTTTGTGTTTGCTTTTTGGTGTTGTGCATTTCAAGCAGGGATCAATAAGAACAACAAATTAATTCAGGTACCTCGATACCTAAACCGGTTCGACCCCCGCGGCAGGATTAATTTCTCAAACGGGTTCGATTAATTTTCTTACAACTTCCGTTTCCCGGCCGAACAAACTCTATAAAATTTGAGAGCTTGAGCTCAAGATGGTCCTCAGATTTTATAGACTATCAACCTACCTGAAACAACACAACATTTTAAACAGGTGGTTCCAAAAAGTCCATTTGTGCTCGCAAAATGGATGCCGACCTTTCATTCTAGAGAGAGAGAGAGAGAGCACGGCATGTCACCAGATTTTACGAGGTCCTAACATTTAATTGTATAGAAAGCATTTGGAGTAGTAGAAGGTTGGGAATTGATCTCAGTGTGTGTTGTGAGGTCAGGTAGGTTGATATGATATGTCATTTTATATAAAACACTTGCATTTGTTGAGGCTTTGAACCACTTTTGTCCTGTGTTGTTGTAAAATCAATTTCAACTTGCATATTTTCCCACATCTATAGACTCACTACCAACCTTGGCTTTGCATCATTCATTTTCATTTTTTTTGGATATCATTTTCTCATGATGATGAACACCAATACCCTGAGGCACCTCATTCTATAGAGAACATGTTTCCAGCACTGCAGGACCTCAGGAGGTTGATACTTGATTCTATAGCGGGGCAAACCGCCCTCGGAGCCTGCTTTTTCTTATCAGTATAAATCACGTCCCACGGTACACTGGTAATTCCGCAGGGGCTTGCGGCATTTTAGTTTGCACCCATTACGAGGGTTCAATTAATTAATTAGCCTGCCACATTAATGAATTGAGCAGGGCCCCGGGGGACCTAGCTAAGGTAGGGGTTATGAAAAATCGCCTAAGTGTGTGACTGTGTAAGGGGGGAAGTGGAAGTTGCTCGTGGACTGGAGCTAGCTCTTTGCTTAGCTGCTGTCTACGCTAATTCGCGGACATAGCTAGCTTTTCTCTTAGCGCGCTAACTCGTGAACTTTCAGCTCTTCACTTAGCTACTGTCTACACTTGGACTTAGTTGGCTCTTCACTTAGCTACTGTAGTCTACGCTAACTCTTGAATGAACGAGTCTAATATTTGCGTGTGCTATTGATTTGATTGTTCGTAAGCACGGACATTTCTGAACTTCACTTTGTTTGATATGAATATAGCTGGACCCACTGGGTGTTGATGGACTAACCTGCAAAACGTGGAAGATCATGGAAACTAAGACTATCTCCTGACGAGGGGCTTGAAGCGATTGGGTTTGGTCCGCCCCGTTTGCACATCCCTGACAGGTGAAGAGTGCATGTTGAATCCCCTGCAGATCGCAAGTATTTAGGCCTGTGGTCAGCCCTGGCAAGTTCCAGTTCTATACTGTTGACAGAAGAAATACAGTAAAAATCCTTTTTGGAAGTCTTCCATCAACAGACAAATGACAGGACCCAAACAGGAGACCACAGGATCACGCGGGTGACCCAATTGGGGGAAACGGTTCGAAACACTGCAAAACACAATCAGTGTCTGGAACAGACTCACACCGCCATTCATTGCCACCAAGATTTGCATAAACGGAGGTTCAAGAGGGGCTCTTTTCGGGTACGGCACGGTTGCCTCCACGTCGGGGTCTCTAAGACCCGGAACTCCTTGCAGCCTAGCACATCAAACCTCCGGGGGTCCTGGCAGTTCCTTCTTCTTCCAAAATTACACTTTGGGATCCGAGAACGAAATCAGGAGGCTTCCAAACTGAGCAGGATTCCTTCAGGACATCAAAAAGTTGAAACAATTTGAAAACCAGATCCTCGCATTGAAACGCCTTGAGCTGCAGATCCTCGCCACGAAGCTCGCTCATCACGCGAGCCTCGAGTCGGAGCACCTCGCGCAGCCGCGACGCGTGGTGGACTTGGGCTGCGGCACGGGGCTGTGCGGCCGTGCGATCCGACGGCTGCTTGGCGAGTCCGTGGAATTGATCGGGGTGGACCTCTCGGCAGCTTGGCGAGGTGCACCTAGTGCACGGAAGGTGGCCAAATGTTCATGAATTATCCGGAATCCATCAGAAAATGCGGCAGTTTTTTTGAACTATATAGGTATTCTCGACTGAAGGCGTTTCAGAAACAGTTTAGTCCCGTGCGCAAATGCGCATGGGTCTAGTGACCAAAAGTGTTTCTATGTTTGTACCTTTTGTTGGAGCGGGCGTTTAACACACACCTCTGAAGACCACAGAGATGGATGGCGCCCAAATGTACGTTCCATGACGCCATGAGGCAGCTCGATGTCTCTCAATCGCTGATTGGTGGACAGTGCGAGGTCACGTGCACTTCTGAAAGCATGAGTTGACAATATGTTTACAAGTTAAAAGTACTAAGGCAGTGCTTTAATGTGTGTATATACTGTAATTGTATTGAGTATTTAACTAATATACATATATGTGTTCCTATTCCAGTTGAATCTTGGCTGCGTTCATCCTATACTATACCACTTATGGAAATTGATCCCTGCAGAGTGTGTGCAAGTTGGGCAACCTAACACTTTTTGGGAGGCAGGGGATAGGTTTCTTTGGAGAGTGAAGACAAAACAACAAACAGTAGCACTCACAGTCTCCGTTGCTGCACATCCGAGAGAACAAGGCATGCATGTTGGCACGGGCCAAGGAGGACAGGGTGCTACCAACTGATCCAGTCGTGCCGATGACGAAGGGATTTGTATAGCAGTTGTGGGTCTTCCACAGGTTTTCGTCATTTTGTCCTTTACCAATCCCAGGACATCCTAAGGCATCCTAAACACATTTCTGTGCAGGTTTTGCAAGAATTTGTACCGTTGTCCGCAGCCTACATGCCCCCAAAACCGCTCTTGTAATTTTCTTTGGCAGCATTCGGGACGATTTCACAAGAATTGTTCATGCACGTTCAGATACTTCGGGTTGGTTTGGGTGAATCCCAAACAGCTTATCCTGTATGTGCTCCCAGAGGCTATGCTTGGTATAGCATAGTCGTTTGCTGCTAGCGTATACCAGGGTTTGCTGGTTTGCTAGGGTATACTCGAGGAATCATCTTGGTCTTTGTATTTTTCTTTGACTTGAGAGCGTATTCTTCAGCAACTTGAAGCACATGATTCCGCTGTCACTTTGTTTTCAAGCGGCATGCGCTCTCCTGATTCAATGGTCGGGTATATGATGGTATATGCATTTTGTTACCCTCAGAAGGTAGAGAATGAACCTCCGGTCACCCGCCCAGTTCACCCAAAGTTCATTTTCAGAGGGTATGTGGATCTGTAAGGATGTCATGTATGTATATTTTTGTTTGCACCGTTGTCATAAGAGTACTGCACTTCCCCAGATTATCCCAGAATGTTTCTTTGTCTCCCAGTTGTCCTTTTGTCCGGTTTTTGTCCATGTCTTTGTTGTTTCCCAGAGTCTTTGATTTGTTCGTTGCTTGGGATATATATATATATGGCATGCGCTCATATTAGTTGGTTCTGTTCACTAAGAGTGCTACGCTGACGTGACCACTTGTAGCTTGGCGAGTGCAATGGTTTGTAACTGTAAATTCTCCTGGTCCTCAGGGCCTCATATATATATATATACACATGACTTTCGCCCCGAATTTAAGGAAGAACCACCCGTCGGTTTGAATTCCGCAGCCTCTCGGCTCAGCGGATGGTGCATGAGTGGGAGTCGTGCAACTGCGCGCTCTGCTTGACCGTCCGTAGGGTCGTTGGGCTACTCTACGCTCCGGACTGCTCAGGTGCGGTCCAGAGGAGGGGCGTGACACTTTTGAGGGAGGTTTACTCGCAACTCTTGGACGTTGCGGATACAGGGGCTGCCACCTCTGTTCCTCCCGTTGAAAGCGGATCTGTTCTCCCGGGTGAGGGAGACAAAACTACCAGCCAGAAGGTAAAGACCGAGCTCAACAGCAACCAGGAACAGCCCAAGCCGGAGGAGGGATTTGCTCCCGTCGTGGACACCGCAGAGGAGAGTGGGAGCAGTCCTGTCGTTGAGAAGAAGGCCGAGGAGGTCGTTGAGAGTGCATTGCGAGAGACTGACTTGAAGGACACCGAGATTGAGAAGGAGGACACCGAGACCAAAGACAATTCTCCTGTCACCGGAAAGAAGGAGAAGAGGAGTCGCCGGAAAGAGTCAAAATCCCGAGATCGCCGTCGTCGAGATCGTAGAGACAAGGAAGCTATACTCAGAGGGAGCAGAACGTCGCTCCCGTAGTCGCCAACGCAGAGCCCGAAGAAGGTCCAGTAGACCAGCAAGCCCCCGGCAGGACGGAGGTGGAGACCATTCACCCCCGAAGGAGTCAGGCCGTGAGAGGAAGGAGCCAAAGCCAAGGGCCAAGTCCCAAAGCCGGAGTCCCGTGCTCCGAGCCCCCTGGGCACCAGTGCCATCCCGTGCCTCAGGCCTTACCAACGCCCAGAAACGGGCCGTGCCACCGCCGCCCAAACCACCTCCGGTTCGACCAACCCCAAGAGAACCAGATCATCCACCCCCAGGTTATTCCAGTTGGGAAGCCACCAACGTCAGGGCCAAGTCCAAGGGTTACGGTGACCCTCCACCCAACAAGGGAAAGAAGAAAGACGAGCGGAACGCCAATTTCCGCCTGTGGCGTGAATACGAACGTGGTTATTGGTAGCATCCATGCCGCCACGTCGGAGGCCCGCGGTGGAACCTATGCGGATTCGGGGGGGCGTTTTGCGACGCCCGGCGAGGAGGGAGGCACCAGAGTCTCCCCGTCGGAAGCAGCCCGTTTGGGAGATGTTGAACAAGATTGCATTGGACACTCTTCACAAGAGACAAAGGGTGGTCATAGAAGGCTTGTTCTGGGAAGCCCCGGTCGTGATCGCAGGCGAAGTTCGAGGAGTTGTGGTGAGCGACGGGAGCACTACCTGGCGAATCTGGGTTACAGGGACTCAGCAGGAGTCTTTGTTGAAGGAGCTCGGAGGAAAGTGTCAGGAAGTGCGTGTACACATCTGCCCCGATCCTTGCGATCGCCTGGTTTGGTCGAGAGATTTGATCCACGGCCGCCGTTACCACGTTCCAGAGGGGGAGGCAGAAGGTTGGCACACGAACCTCGCCGAAGCCTCCCGAGAGAGAGTATAGTTGGCGGAGGAGGAGACGATCTTCTTCATCGTCTCCGAGAAGAAATGGGAGAAAGGGCAAGAGAGGGAGAGTTGCAGTACTCTCCCGAGAATGTGGTTCCTCCCGAGGGGAAAAGGGAGGCCGAGGAGGAGAAGCAGGTGAAGAAGGGAAGAAAACGCAAGGCAAAAGTGAAGGTGCAGTTGGAAGCAGGTGTCAGGGAAGTCTTCAAGAACACGGCCTTGGACCCAGACATCGAGATCAGGCGCGAGCTCATGAAGAAAGCACGCAAGATACGAAGGGGGAGGAAAAAGAAGAAGAGATCCTCCCGGTCAAGGAGCAAGGGATCCTCGGGTGCAGAGTCAGGGGGATCGAGCGAGACTTCCAGCTTGGCGGAGAAGCACATAGCAGGCTCCAAACTCTTCGAGAGCGAGAGATGGTCCCTACAGATATGGCGTCGTGTGCCAGGGGCATTGTTGAATGCGACTATACTGGATATGCAAGAACAGCCTCTAAGACCAGATTAGACTATTTTCTAACTATTAGTCTATTTCAATAATTCTAACTAATAGTTAGATTTCAAATAAACTAATAGTATAAACTAGGGGATAATTTAAAGTCTATTTTGTTGAATAGATTCAAGTCTATTTTGCTAAACAACCTTGGAATGTCAAGATTATGTTGGAAAAACATGAGATCTTGTAAAGACATTTTGTTAATTCATTTTAGGTGTTTGTGGTCACACTTTTGAAAAACACACACTTGAGCAATGTGTGTGACACGCAAGGCCTAAGTAACATTGAGCAGAGCCTAAGTAACATGGCCTAGGTAACCGTACATGGCCTAAGTAACATGCAAATTTTCTTTCAAACTCACATCACAAAGTATTTTTGGTGTCAAGTGTTGAGGAAGGCTCACAAGCTTCCAGAGGATCAGCAAGACTGACAAAAGGGTAGATGTTGTAGTTTCATGAAGAAACAAGTTTTGTCTATGTTTGTCCCAACTAGCATCGTACACATCTCCTTTCTTTGCTTTGAGCACCTGTAGCACACATGGCCGTCTCTAAGGGAATGAAGGTGGACCCTTCCAGTGGTGTGATGAACCTCCAAAGAGTGCTGCCAAAGGAAATGAACAGAGGAGCTGACAAAGATCTGTTTTCTGGTTTGAAGCATCCTACCAATGCTCAGTGGAGTTGGAAGACAAGTTCTTGTCCTCAATGGATGGCTCAATGTCATGAAATGTTGGTGTATTTCTTGAAGATTGCGCCAAATGGGCTACTATAGGTCAGCCAAAGTTAAGCTAGCACTACAGAGGATGATCCAAGACTGTTCAAAAATGGTCAACAAAACACACTTCCATACAGCTGACTTTGTGGACCAGGTAGATCAAAGGATTCGTGTTTTGCTTGCACAAGCCAGAGGCATCAAGAAGAACCATGAAGCTTACGCAACAGCAATGAGGAAGGCCACCTTCGATTCCAAAGAGAAGGTCGACACCATTTTGGAACACCTGCAGTTGGATGGAGCTGATGACAGTACTCCTTCGACAGTACTCGCTCCACTGCTGATGACAGTACTCCTTGCATTTTACTTCACCAAATAGGTCAATATCACGTATACAAGCCCAAACAATATCTCAATAAATATATGAAAATATTGCTTTGTAAAAAGTCAAATTCAACTATGACACCAAAGTGACACTAATAGTGCCACTTTTATTTTGAAACTGCAACTTTTTCAGTGTAGTTTTACATAAAAGTGACACTTTAAGTGTCAGTTGCAATGTAAAAGTTGTCACTTTTGTGTCGGTTTTGTGTCGCTTTTGTGTCGCTTTTGTGTCGGTTTTGTGTCCCTTTTGTGTCGCTTTTGTGTCGGTTTTGTGTCACATTTTGTGTGTGTGTGCGTCACTTTTGTCGCTTTTGTGTCACTTTTGTGTCTCTTTTGTCACTTTTGTGTCACTTTTGTCTTGCTTTTGTGGCACTTTTGTGTCGCTTTTGTGTCAGTTTTGTGTCACTTTTGCGTCGCTTTTGTGTCACTTTTGTGTCTCTTTTGTGACACTTTTGTGTCAGTGTTCAGTACTTTTATGTCAGTGTTATAATATGTTTTATGTTTTGCTTACGTCTTTTGTGATTTTGTTTGTTAAGTTCGTGTAGTATTCGTGTAGGTTAGTTGAAATGGCTAAATGAAAAACTAGGCAACTACATGCACAGTAGTATGAGTCCACTGTGGTTATCTATCTTGAAGCATTTGGCAACTTGTATTATGTTTGTTGTGTTGTCTTTTGTGGCTCCAGAGTTGCTTTGTTGCAACAAAGTGTTCTTGTGCATATGACAGAAAAATATGCAAAAATAAGCAGCACAAAGTAAAGGACACAAAACAAACCGACGCAACGAAAGACAAACCGTGACATAGAACAACTCAAACATAAAAGTGAATCTATATAGGTAGCATTCAGTGGGGGTCTAAGTAGCACTTGGTGACCAGCCACGGCTTCACCAAACAAGAGTGAAGCAGCTACAGAAGAAGCAGCTACCCCTGCCAAAAGTGCACGGCAGGCTTTGGCACCTACGACGCCCAT